TGTCCTGGGCTGCATCCAGAGGAGCGTGGCCAGCAGGTTGAGGGAGGGGATTCTGCCCCTCTGCTCTGCTCTCATGAGACCCCACCTCGGATACTGTGTTCAGGTTTGGATTCCCCAACACAAGAAGGACATGGAGCTACTGGAGCGGGTCCAGAGGAGGTCTACAAAGATGATTCAAGGGCTGGAGCACCTCTGCTATGGAGACAGGCTGAGAGAGTTGGGTCTGTTGACCCTTGAGAAGAGAAGGCTCCGGGGTGATCTTATTGCAGCCTTCCAGTACCTAAAGGGGGCCTACAGGAAAGCTGGAGAGGGACTTTTTACAAGGGCGTGTAGTGATAGGACAAGGGGCAATGGCTTTAAACTGAAAGAGGGCAGATTTCGATTAGATCTAAGGAAGAAATTTTTCACTCTGAGGATGGTGAGGCAGTGGAACAGGTTGCCCAGAGAAGTTGTGGATGCCGCATCCCTGGAAGTGTTCAAGGCCAGGCTGGATGAGGCTTTGGGCAACCTGGTGTAGTGGAGAGTGTCCCTGCCCATGGCAGGGGGGTTGGAACTAGATGATCTTTGAAGTCCCTTCCAACCCGAACCATTCTATGATTCTATGAAATCTCTCCTAACAAAGGGTTATGCCCTGTATGAAGCTAATAGTTCAGTTGCTATATTTTTGATAGAACAAAATGAAATGAAATAACTGTAAAATTACATTGTGGTTGTGAGAAAGGCTATTGTCTTTTGAAGGAGGTCAAAGGTAAATGTGGGAGAGGAAAACACTTTGCCATATTTCTAATGTTTAAGCAGTGAAAAGAATTTATTTTTTTCACTCCTGCATATCTTTGCTAAAGATATCTTGACTTAGACTAGTTGTACTAAGTGCCTTTAAGTGTTACCTGTGCAGGCTGGTTTTGTTTTTCATCTACAAAGCTAATTACTTCAGTGGGATTTTATTTTAGAAAAGCATGGGGATTTTAAAAGTACATCTTTTATTCTGAATATTCTTTTTTTTTCTTTTTCTTTTATTCAAAAAATAATTTTTGTCCTAAACTGCTTATAGGAAGCTTGCCTATTATGACCTATGAATGAATTGGAAAGCTAACTTCACTTAAATAGTTTCTCCATGGCCCTTATAGATCTATATGGGCTTGGAGGTTTGTAATTCCTCAAACAGTATTGCTCGCATTCTTGAAACAGAATTCCCAATTTTTCTTTTCAGTTTATTTGGCTGAAACTGAACTATCTTTGTAGACTTTAAAAAACGATCTTTCATAGGCCTTGTATGTTAGCTTTTTTCCAATATATCCTGCGTTTTCATCGTCCTACACAAAGAAGCAGTTTTTATTTTTAGATTTTTTTTTTGTATTTGGTTTTGCCCTGCAAGATAAAAGGATATTTTCCTATTAGTCTTGTGATGTGCAGAAGCTACTCACAGAAAACTGAGAGGACGATATCTCTTGGAATTAGGTGGGGAAAAGTTGCTGTGATAAAACTTATTGTAGAAGGTCTCTTAGAAGAATGTTTGTTCCCTTGTGTATTAAGAGCAGCAGTGTGCGTACTTATTCTTGTGTCAGGTATCAGAAGAACAGTGGAAAATGGCAGTGGATTCATCTTCTTTCCCTGCAAATCATACACTTCTTTTTTCCTGCAGTTCTGAAGGCAAAGTATCCTTCGACTAACTGAATTCTGCTGTTTCTGTTTGCTTTGGTGGCTGTCTGCTAATTTATAGCTTAGTGTCTATTTATGTTTATAAAGCTATTGCATTGCAGAAGATAACCATGGCTTTGTTAAGAGCTATTATTTCAAGGTCTCTTTTGAGAGATCCTGTTGCTTTAAATCTTTTTGAAATTGGAGAATAAATTATTGAAGAGCTGAGTTGTAGTGCTTACTTGAAACCTTACTTGTCTTATCCTTGTGGAAAAGGAAGGGAACTGTTTTAGGAGGCTTGGAACACTTTGAAAAACTCACTAATCATTGTGCTGACATATGAGGCTTACGTGCCAAGTTTCTCAGCTGAATGGTCTGGTGACTCTGACTTTTGCCTGCCACATATTACAGAGAGTTTCTGTGAAGTAAAACGCAGCCATGGCTAAGAGAAAAATACAAGATCATAGATATAAGTATATGTTCCTCGGCAACCGAATGCTACAGTTTTATTGATCCCCACTGGTGAAAATTTGGGAATGTATTATCTTCATTTGCATTCTAACCTTCCAAATCTTAGTATTTAATTTTTCAGGTCCTTTTAAATTTTTCTCCCACAATTTACCCAGGAAAGCTAAACTTTCCCTTTAAAAAACATTTGAGGATGACATTCGTGCAATTCTAGGAACTACAGCTGTAATTAAAAATACAAACTGTTGTGAGATTTTTGACGTCGTATGCTGTTATCGTTACTGTTTTATTTCCTGCTCTGTGTGCTAAAAGCAAACGTGGGCGACGATTTTAACGTTGCATTGAGAGAACGTGATATTGAGCTGTGTGAACATGTAGCAGGTAGTAAAAGGCTGGATCGTTTAACAAAGGTTTTGTTTTAAAAAAAACCCCAAACATTTATGTGATGCCAACCATTTTGCTATTTTTAGCAGCTTGTTCCAATAGTTTGGTTTCACATATATCAAGTCCTAGCAGGACTTTCCAGATTACGAGATGGTCTGATTCAAGACTTTCCCGTCTTTTAAGGGGAGAAAGGAGAGGTTGGTTTATTTATTTTTTTATTTATTTTTATAATTCTGTGAACAAGTCCAAGCATCTAAGAGGCAAACTGGAACATTGTTAAGTGTCTCAGTTTTGTGATTAATCCAGTGCAAGTCAGTGCTGCTGCTGAAGAGACACACACTGCTGCTGGCTTTGTGCTGACAAGAGTTAATCGTTGGAGAACTGCTCTGGTTGAACACTGAACAGTCTTGCCCCGTTGGCATTCAACCAGAGCAATTCCGTGTTCCAGTTCATTATGTGGTTGCCCAAATGATAGTTCTGGACAAAAGTGAAGGTGCGAATGACCAGTGGCAGTATGAGGAGGGACCTGTTAACCAATTATATGGGATTGTGTTGAAGCCATTACCGCTGCATTTCATGCTGACTTGCTTACCTGTAGCGGGCTTTATCACTAAGTTCATGTTGTTTATGACAGTAAAAAAGGTAAACTGCTGCAGTTCTGTAGCTGGAAGTGATTCAGAAGCTTCACGAGTAGCTATGGCTTTGGAGTAGTTTTCTTGTTTTTCAGGAGACTTAATCACTCAACACCTGACAAATTGAATAAACCTGTTGTTGTTCCTGTTCCTATATATCCATATGTTGTAGGCCTGAAAGCTGTCCTGTGAGTAGCTGTCCCATGGCTTTCCTCTTTTTGGCGGAGCCAAACACTTCTGTGTCTCTTCCCAGATCTCTGTTCATGGATTGCCCTACAAAAGCTGTTAGCCTAAGTGTTTAGAGAACACTGAAGAGATGTTGTGAAAAGCGTGGTGGAAAAATATTGCAGAAGAGAAGAGTCCTTTTCAGGGCGTAGATATTCTTCTTTCAGGTTTGAAAGGATTTGAAAAGTTGTCATTTTGTTGTTAGAAAATAAAAAAAACGAGTTAGTTGGAGTATAGTTCCTTGCAGTATAGTAGTTGGCACCTAAGTTGCAAAATCTTATGCTAAGATTTCCAAGCATTCATCTTGCAGGATGAATAACTGATTTTTTTTTTTTCCTTCAGCTGAGTCCTCAGAACACTTCTAATAAGTTTTTGTAGACTCAGAACACTTCTAATCAGTTTTTGTAAAGTGTGAACATGGAAAGTACCTTTTCAGTATAATTTCGGTAAGAAAGAGCAGGCTGAGAACAGGAGGAGAAACCAAGTTGCAGGGAACAGGGTTATACTGTCTCTGCCAAATGACCTTTCAGTGAGCAGAGGCCAACGTTTCTGCAGTTATCAGGCTAGGGCTTTCTAAAGACAAGAAGCTTGTCAAATTTGGTGCACTTATTATTTGGCAATACCCATGGACCACCACTCCTTAGTAGGTGGCACCTTGGCAGCTGTGGCAGTCTTGTTTTCAAAGACAGGAATCAGACTTCTGTTCTCCATTAGCTTTCTGATGGGATTCCTAGAAATCTGGTGATGGAGACATGAGGATTTAAAAGAAGATGGTCCCTAGCTTGCTGAAGGGTACAACAATACGCAGGTTTATTACTTGGCAATGACTGTTAAATATTTCTAACTCAACTTTTAAAAAGATAGATATTTCATGAGATTGGGTACTTGAAATTGTGCTTGTGATATTTGAGCATAGTCTGTCAGGTAGTTTTGCTCTTAATAGAAACTTGCATTTCACCCCTTTAAATTCATGTGCTTAGGGAAGGTCACTGGCGTTGGGAGAATGACTCTTTCTAGATCTGGAATGTGCAGCTGAGAAGTGATGTGTACTGCCTGATCAGCTGATGAAATGTGGGTTTGGATGTGTGATTTTTGTAAAGGACTTCCAGATGTTACAGTTACCAGCTGAATGTCTCAAGACTGCACTGTTAGGTCTAGATTATGAAACAAAATGGATGAAACATGCAGAAGATAAACCAGTGAGCCTATACTTGGAATTGTTCTCTCAAGAAAAAAAAAAAAAAGGCAACAGTACTCCATAGCAATGGCAGAAAAATATAGATGCTTTTAGTTAGGGTTACCTGCATTAATTTATAGTCTGTGAAGAGCTTGAACGGTCTAATAGCTAATTTTCTGTGTAGCTGCTGTATTGGGAACTGTGAGTTCTTTATCTCACTTAAACTTCCTTGTGCTAAAACGTGACTCTTACAGTGCTAGAACTGAAATCCAGTTACTGACAATACTCTTTTTAAGCAGCAGAAACCAAAGTCTGTTTTGGAGTTTTCCTAGAATTTTCACAAAATCTCTGTACAGGAATTCTTTTATTTGCAAAATTTTCTTTAAAGGTTTTAAATCCTTGTACTTGTTGAGGGAAGGAGTTTAGCTTTAAAGCAAAGTGTTTGATTTTTCTTTCTTTGTTTTCCCCAGGAAGTACTGACATAACCATGATAGAAGACAAAGGTCCACGAGTGGCTGACTATTTTGTAGTGGCAGGGCTCACTGATACAGATACTGCAACCCTCCTGGACCAAGAAATAAGCCGACATGAGACTAAATCAACTGGTCCAAAGGCTCCAATTACTGACATTGCTGTGATAATTAAATCAGCTGGTGAAACTGTCCCAGAGGGATACACCTGTGTTGAAGCCACCCCTACAGCCCTTCAAGCCAACTTAAACTATGGAAGTCTAAAGAGTCCTGAACTTTTTCTTTGCTACAAGAGAGGCCGGGACAAACCACCTCTTACTGACATTGGGTGAGATTTCTGTAACAATTCAGTTCCTCCTTCAATAATGATCAAATCTTACTTTTCGTAAATGATGAAAACTGACGTGAGAAAACTTTTAAAAACATACTGTCTTTGAATCTATATTGCTTATTGTCTGTATCTGTGCAGTATTTTCTTTCTGAAATAAGTTGAAAAAAGCATCAGTCTTTTAGAGAACTTGTCTTTTAAAAATGAATGATAACGTTTTAACTTAAAAAGATACGATATATATAGAGAGGGAGGAGATAGATGGAGCAAATCAAATATGAGAAATTAAGTTCTCTGCTGCAATTTTATGAAAGGTCAAAGAATAATAAAAAATTAGTTTCTAGAAATGGTATAGTGCAAATCAAAAAATATAGCATGCTTTATCTGAAAGTGATGACTTCAGAAGACAAAAATTATCACTTTGTGAATCACTTTAATGCTTAAGGTAAAAGATATCACTTTAAAATGGTAAGACACTGAAACAAAGATCTTAAAATTATCCACCTATAGAGACTTGCAGCCTGTCTTTTTGTCAGATCAGAGTATTTGTGAGGTTGCTTGCAAGTTCTGTTATGATTGGCTGCAAACACTGGGTTATGTAATCTCTTGATGACTCTAATCATGCTTTTATTTCAGAAACCATGCTTTTTGATATCTAAGGCATAAGTTCCTAAAGAGTTACTAGTACTGTGTTTGAAAACCTTAGGTATAGTCAATGCTTTAAGTTCAATGCTTAATAAACGCGGAGGACAACCTGGCAGAGAAGCTCTGGACTAATTTTGTTACTTAGAGGATACTGAATTTAATGTCAGTATTCAGGACCAAGATCACAAAATCTCCCAAGATCTCAAGGTGGTGCATATTATAGTCTGTGCTACTAGCATATTGAGGTAGTGCTCGATCTGTAGTAACTCATGCAGTGCTACAGTATTGCCTAAATTGCTCTGTATAGCACTTCTGCTTCTCTAGTTTGGATAAGGATGTTGTAGAATTACTGTGGTGTAATAAGAAAGAGAAAATGGAGCATGGGTGGGAGGAACTGTTACAATGGTGGCAAAATAAGTGTGTTTTTCCTTATTTAGTTATTAAATAAATAGTGAAGTAAAAAAAATGCATCTATAGGCAAGCTATAATGTTTAATTAATTTCATTTATAAGTTTAAGCACATCAGGCACAATGCCTACATACCCTGCTTTTGACCTACAATTTGAGTGCCAACTGACAACTGGAGTCCAGTCTGGAAGAAACTGATAGTGAAATCTTAGTAATGAAATTAGTTACATGGCAAGATCTCTGCTCTAAGGATGATAGTTAGATTTATATAATTAACCTGGTACATTCTGATTTCAGTTCATCTCAATATCTAATATTAATTTCATAGATTTTCATAGATTTCTAGGTTGGAAAAGACCTTAGAGATCATCGAGTCCAACCGTCCCTAATCCCTATTAAGCCATATCGCTAAGTAGATCATCCACCCTATTCTTAAACACATCCAGGGATGGGGACTCAACCACCTCCCTGGGCAGCCTATTCCAGTGGCTGACAACCCTTTCAGAGAAGAAATACTTCCTAACATCCAACCTGAATCTCCCCTGACTAAGCTTATACCCGTTTCCTCTTGTTCTATCACCCATCACTAATGTAAAGAGCCCTTCCCCTACCTCCCCACCATCCCTTCTGTCCCAGTTTTAGCTGGGACAGAGTTTGCGGTTCAACATAACCCACGACACCTTCTCAAGTATTTGTAGGATGTAATCAGGTCTCCCCTCAGCCTCCTCTTCTCCAGGCTAAACAGCCCCAACTCCCTCAGCCGCTCCCCATAAGTTTTATTTTCCAGCCCCTTGACCAGTTTGGTCGCCCTTCTTTGGACTCGCTCCAGGAGCTCAATATCTCTCTTAAAGCGAGGGGCCCAAAACTGGACACAATATTCCAGGTGCGGCCTCACCAGTGCCGAGTACAGGGGCAGGATCACTTCCCTGCTCCTGCTGGTCACACTATTCTTGATACACGCCAGTATCCCAGTGGCCTTTTTGGCCACCTGGGCACACTGCTGGCTCATATGAAGCCGGTAGTCAACCAATGATGATTCTAATAATCTTCAGTGAAACTGTGATTTTTAGAGTAGTCTTTTCCCATGAGTGTGACTGACACTGCAAGATGAGATAATTGTTACAATTTGACTGAGTCGCATTGCAGTATGAAGTTATTCTTCAAATGATATGTCAAACTTCAGTGAGTTTTAGCAGAAGGAATATAGTTACACCATGTGCCATGCCTCTGGATGCTGCATATACCTTTATGGAAGTGACTGCTACACGTTTATTTTCATGTCTCCCAGAACTTTAGAAATTGAAAGCTTGGATAGGTTTCATAGGGAATACCTGATAAGCAAAATAGGCAAATAGTTGGCTGACTAAGGGCTTCCTTAGCAGAGACACTTTTTTAAACTATTGGTGGAAAACTGTGGTATTTGGCAAGTAGTATTTGTTCTGTATTTTACACAGATCTAGTTAGGATATGACACCTAACAAATCCTGGCAGGCTTTTCTCTCTGAGCAGTGATGCATAGGAATGTTCCTGCTGTTTTGCAACTACGTGCGAGAGATGGTTAGAGCCTGTGCAAGAGGTGGATAGAGCAGCTTTTTATTTTGTGAGTTCCAGTGTGTTCAAATGAAAGTGGAGTTTGGGCAAGAGACGTATGTGCAGTCTGAAGACTGTTTTAAGCTGTTCTCCAGTATTTTAATTAAAGAACCAAATGTGAATAGTTACACCAAAATAGTTACACCGTGTGCCATGCCTCTGGATGTTGCATTTGCTGTGGCTGTTTTTAGTTGGAAGAATAAAGGTTTGACCCTAAGACAAGAGATCTCTAGGGTTCGTTTCCTATGTATAGCTGTAAAATTTAGTATCTTAAGCTTCTAGGTCCATAAATAATTCAGCTACTAGCCATTCTATTGCTTTCCTAACCAATATTTTTGCAGATATTCCAGAAATAGACAAGAACTGAGATTTGAGATTTGTTTCAGTTTAGGTGCACTGAGATTTCGTAACAAGATCTCACTTCTCTTACTTTTACACTTGAGTTAGGAATATGGGATAGCTCCAGCACTTGTCTCTTAAATGGAAGAAAACCTCACAGGAAATGCTTTTTAATTGTAAGTGGTTTTGCAATTTGTAACTTACTGTAGAAAGGATCAAGGCAAGAATATCAGAGTTCTTGTCTGAAGCAGGGCTTCTTGTATTACTGAGTAATGCAAAAGTTAGGTAACTTACATTGTGTAAGTTAAGAAATACTCTTTTTTTTTTTTTTTTTAACTAGTATGGGAAGCTTTAGCTTGGTTAGTCGTTCTGTGCTAAGCACCCATCTCATTCTGCCTACTTGGTTTCTGAAATTATCTACAAGAGTATCAATTGAACAAATGTTTTTCTTTACTAGAGGTGTATTTCAAAAATGAAAGTAAACTCAAATTTCAAGAAGCACAATAAAAACTGGAAGATGTTCTTAAGAGCCAGCATCTTCCATTGTTCCTTAAATCCCACAGTGTGAAAATGGCAGTTGGGTGTTTGGAACAGCTTGGGATAATAATGATGAAACTAATCAATTGCTTGTGCGTTTTGACAAATAAAAGTGGTGGCAGTAGAAATAAAAGATAAGTAAATCTTTTCCCTCTGCTTTATCCAACACTTCTCCTCTGGCCCTCCTACTGCTTAGTATATTTATTTTAGTTCCCTTTTTATTCCATACTTGCATACTGCCTTCTCTTAAATGAGATAGGAAGAGCTGTTATGAAGAGTTATGTTGCTTAAGGTCCGCGAGAGGCAGAAACGTGGTTGGACCTAGAGAAGTCAAGCTGGAGAGCAGCCTCACGCAATGCAATTTGCAACAGTCCACCTATTTTGAAATGGTTTTCCAGAAGCAAAGTTTTCTGTGGTTTAAGGTTTTTAACTCAACAGCTGCAAGAAAGTAGTATTTATCTTTTCTAAAATCTGTTATCTGATGTATTGAATTATACCTTTAAATCAGTAAAGCTGGTCATGAGAGAACCTCCATCTACAATGTGAAACAGCCTTACGAAGCAATAACAAGATTTTTTGGTCTTTCTCACGAAGAAAGGACCTAACGTCTAGAGGAAACTGTAGTTACGTATTGTTTGAAATGAAACTTTATCAAAGTTGATAGAATAATGTAGCAAATAAGGTGTACTTAGGATTGAGGCCAAAGTATAAGCTCATAGAAGCAGGAAACAAGTCTTATCCTGATCAGTACTAATTAATCAAAGGCAGACGTTGGGAAGTTGAAACAAGTAGGAGTAAGCTTATTCTCTCAGGGACGACTTTGTATATACAGGGTGTCTTGTTAAATATTTCATGCATCACTTCTGAATGTTTTTGTCTTGAATCATTAAAATCGTTGTTTAATTTGAGTGGTCTGTGGATTGTGGTTTTCTTCTGTTTGCTTGTTTTCTTAAATTCAATAGTATGCATGAAAGCAGAAAATGGTGTTGTTTTAATATTCTTCCCCTGTTACGTATGAAGGGGTGAGTGCTGCTTTCATTTTCTTTTTGCTTTTTATGGGAGGTGATCCCACTTGACCCAGTGTCTTGAACACTGGTCAGACCTTACCTCTTAGAAAGATTTGCACCACTGAGAAATGCTTCAGTCTTTTAAGTGTTTCTGAGAATACTTGTAAACCTGTGAAATGGAACTGCTGGAGCTGTCTGGTTAATATGGTTTTACTTCTCAAAAACTGTCAGCTGACAAACGTTTCTGGAATAACTTTAGATTCCTATTTTATTTAAAATACATGAAATTGAAATAAAACTGAGCTGAAACTTACATTGGAGGCCACTCTTCAATATTCTCTTCTGATTAATGTAAGGAAGTGATGTGGAGAATTCATGCAAACTTTATGCACAATGAAGGTAGCCTGAGAGCTGCTGCCATTGTTGTTGTTGGGTTTGTGGTTTTTGTTTTTGTTTTTTTTTTTTAACTTTATAAAGGAGGTAACCTGATAAAAAGAGCAAAATACATGTTCTTCCAGAAGATTATGTAGTTTAGAAGTAATTAAAACTAATGTTGCAACTTGGAAATGCTGGTATTAGGCTGGTTTTGAACCTGAGATTACACATTGTTTTAAATCTAGCAAAAATGTGATCATGAGACTCTTTACAAACTGAAACCGTTATTGAAGGCAAGTCCTTCATGAGTTACCCGAATAAATTTATATGGCAGCCTGGTAGCTACATCAATATGCTCCCAACTCATGTGATTTCTTTGCTTTATTGAAGTATTCTAGGACTGTAGTTCATATATATCCTCAATACTACAACAAGATACACATTTGCTCTGTGGAAACAGAATAAACAGTAACATTTGCATATTCCAATTTAAACATGGACAGCAATATTTAATTTGAAGAGTTTAATGGTACATGCTTTTTGGAAAGTTCTGAGAATTGTTGGATCTGGAAAAAGACTTCATTTTTTTTTAATCTTTCACCCAGGACTTTTTTGAGGTTTTCAAATACATGCTTACTAGTAGTCTGTCAAATGTTTAACCAAGGGTATTTGGGGACAGTAAAATATATATTGCCTGGTTATTTTTTATTTTAAAGTAAAGTTGTGATGAACTACATGTAGGAAGCTGCAGGTCACAAAATACAAAGTTGTAACATGTTACCTTTATCCTAAATCTTGCCACGTATTGTACAGGTGAAAGCTCATTTGAAGGTGGCAAGTACTCTGTACATAATGCAGAGAATCAAGCAGATGGAACTGTTGCTTATTTGAGTGTGGAATGGGAGATAAAGCTTGCCCTATCATAGCATCTATGCATTAAAAATATGTATGTTTTGACTTCCACGTTTCTTCTCGTGGTCACTTCCTAATAGCTTTGTGTTTGGGAAAGATTGGAGTGTGAAGTTTTAGCTCATTTACCTGCTGTGAAGGATCTTTCTTTTTCTGCTAAGAATATGGTGATCTAAACTTGTGATCTGGCTAAAAAATCCAGGTACTGTGTGAATGTTGCTGTATGGCCATGTGAGATATATTCTGCTTTCTAGGAGTACAGTCAACTGCAGTTATTATTTCTTCCTTTTCTGTGGCATGGAGTGTTATTTTGTCTTCCTCTTTCTCCCTTTCTCTTAAGAAATGTTATTCAAACTATGAACATAAATCATTACTAGGTTGGGTTTTTTTCTGTAAAAATTCATCTAGGAAGCAGATTTCTGTCTTCTGTTGCTCTTTTTCAACTACATTCCTTAAAAAAAAAAAAAAAAAGGGCTAGCTTGAAATGACTTTCCAGATGTTTTAGTGATGGATATAATTTCTAAGAAATTATCAGGTGTCATGTGTGCAAGCAATTTAAGGATTCCTTTGTATTTAATTTTCATTGATAGTACAGCATTCTTACTAATTCTTTAACTAAATCCTTTTCCATGCGGCTTGATTTTATTTTTCCATAACTATGATTTGTTCCCACAGAAATATCTTATACTATTTAAATATTTCTGAATAGTTTCTTTGCCTCAAATACATAAAATGCACATTAGACCGTTGCAATGATGACACAGGGTGCCAACGAATGGACAATTTCTGTGAAATTGTCCAAGTAACTTCATATATATTTGAATGCACTAATATTTTGTTTCCTTCCTGTCTGCAGAGTTCTGTATGAAGGGAAGGAGCGCATCATTTCAGGCTGCGAGGTGATTCAAGCTACTCCTTATGGTCGTTGTGCTAATGTTAACAACAGTTCAGCTTCTTCTCAACGGATCTTTATCACATATCGAAGGGCTCCTCCAATACGACCTCAAAATTCGTTGGCAGTGACAGATATCTGTGTTATTGTGACCAGCAAGGGAGAAGCCCCTCCTCACACATTCTGCAAAGTTGACAAGAATTTGAATTGTGGTATGGTGAGTATTTAAAAACTTGAGTTTCTTTTTTAAAAAAAAACAAACAAAAACCCCCACAAAAACCCCCAAACAACAGACAAACACAAAGGACTAGCTTTTTGAACATTTCTTAGAAGTTATAATTGTATTCCATCACTACATCGTAATTCTTTCATTCTGCATGCCATGTGTGAGACTTCAGTTTTGTAAGTTTGGTTGCGCTGATTTTGTTTAGTGTTAGGAATGACTTCTTCATCCTGATTACTCCCTACATAAATTTGCATATTCATGTCTAGGTGCCATTTAGGAGTAGTGCGATGGATTTGTTTAATTAATTATTTTTATAATAAAAAAAAACTCCCACCCCCCCTCCTGGGTTAAATCACAAAAATTTTTTTCTTAGTTGTTAGTAATGTCTGTGTTACTAAGACATGTAAGAATGGTAATTACTGCTTAAACCTTGCTTTTATTTAGTCTGTTTTGCATTTAGTCTATTCAGGCTGAAATAGGTGATTTTTTTCCACGGGTAGAGTGTATTTAGACAAACTGCAAAAATGCTATGTAAGTAACTGGTTTATGGAAGTATGATAAAAGCTTTAAGCGACGATGTTTAGAATTTAACTTCCACTGATGAGGTTACCATAAGTGTCTCCTTTAAAATAACCAAGAAAATGTGAAGCTGCAAATGATCTGCTTCGCTTTTCCCTATTCTTCTGTTGCAGCAAGTCAGAGTAGTGTGGTGGTGTGATTATTTTATGTAAATTCTGTAATTTCTGAAAAAACGTGAGAAGGGTGAATTCTCTATTTCATTATTTACATTCACTCAGCAGCCAGCCAATCATTTTATTCTGTAATGCTTTTTATTTAAATGTCTGCTTTTTTTGTAAGTCGGAGTATATTCAGATGTTTCTACTTGATTTCTCTGCTTGGTGTTGTCATCTTTGCTGGTTCTAAGATGAAACTTGTGTCTTTCAGTGGGGTTCCAGTGTATACCTTTGTTACAAGAAGTCTGTGCCAGCTTCTAACTCTTTAGCGTATAAAGCTGGTAAGTAATTTAGAAGCAGACTGTCTAAGCATGCTAACTGAAGGATTTGAATGCCTGGTTGAAACCAAATGATAGTTTTTAAAGCTTAAATGCAGTCTGTCAGAATTCAGTTCCTAGACCATGTCAGTTGAAATCAACTCCTATAATGCCTTTGTTAGTCTCCTCACTTTTTCCCAGGAAACTAATGAAAAAAGAAAAACCTTAATAGGAATAGCATTGTTCTGTATTAATTTAGTTTTTATCATGACAGGTTTGGTAGCTTATGAGCTTTAGCGGAAAGCGTAGCAAGCATTTCAGATATAACAAAAGACTTTGGTTTTTGTGCTGGTGATGATGGAGAAGGAGTAATTAAACATTCCATGCAACCTTGCTCACATCTTTTTTTATGTCTCACAGCTAATGCAACATCTTTCGTTTAATCCGAAAGTTAAATGTGTTCCTTCCCTTCAGTTCCACAACTATTCACTTGTTTCTCATTTGGAAAGAGTCAGAAATATTTTGTACAATAAATGACAAAAAGTCTTTAAGTCTGGCTTTTATAATATTTTTTTAGTGCACTGCTACAGTTTGTTTCTTTTTTCTGTAGAAGTCCAAAAAAACTTTCGAAAGAGTTTCTAATGAGCACTAAGTGAACCAAATTCCTTTGAATAGAGTGAACTACCAAGTAGAAGTGGAAAGCATAGATAATGAAGTCAGTGTACCATAAAATAAGCTAGATGAACAGCAATAGTAAACTGATGCTAGTGCACCTACTTTTTACCAGCAAGAGTGAGATATATTTCTGGAAACTGAATAAATGATTTGTTTAAATTGAACATATTGACTGATTAGAAGAAAATGTGGACAGTCAGCTAGTTCATCCTGTTTTCAATGGAGGTAATGGAGGTATTGCTGCTGGTTTTACAGTAGATAAATTATCACTGTCTTCATAGGATTTTTTTTGGTAATAAAATCCATTCCAATGGCACGTTTAAATAGCACAAGTAATTCCCAACTGGTTTGAAGTAAAAATCTTCTGTAATTAGTTTTCACTATGTACTGTTTTTTGTGCAGTTACCAAAAGGGAGTGCTTCAGCATTCATACACAATTTTTAAATGATTGTTTCTTGGATGGCTTAGTTATACTGTGAAATGAGAGACTTTCTTCTTCTGCAAGTGTAATGTTCAGTTATAAAGTCCAGATAACCAACAGGCTTCACTGTATATTTTGGAAATTATATTGCTTACATTATTTAGGCAGAGCAAATGTGCTTACTTTTCATTTTCCCATTCTGAAGGCTTAATTTTCAGATACCCTCAAGAGAACTATGAGTCATTCCCACTGTCAGAATCTGTACCTCTCTTCTGCCTTCCTATGGGAGCTACTATTGAGTGCTGGGACCCTCAAACCAAATATCCACTACCAGTGTTCTCAACATTTGTACTGACCTGCTCGTCTGCAGAAAAGGTATGGCTCCGCACCGTGACTTGTTTTTGCTTTTAGTTCAAATGGCTGCTGTGGAGATAAACAGGCCAAACAGGCATTGTTTCTTCTGTTTTTGAGAAAGGCCACAAAACAAGGTGTTAAATAATTCCCTTATAAAATTGTATTTCTTAAGCCTTTGTCTAAGACAGAAGTAAACCAAAACAGGAAACAGCGGGGAGAGTATGTCCTGTTTAGTCCCATGTAAGCTGAACTATACACTTAAAACCAAAGCTCACAAACCCTGTTCTTTCAAGTAAGAAGTTTCTGGGAATGGAAACGTGGCCTACATGTTAAAGAGATACTCGCTTACCACATGTGTTAGCAATGTTAAGTTGTTTTCCAGTGGGTTACCTTAAAATCCACTTCTGTGTGAATTTGTGTAATTGGGCTCTATAGGTATCTATGTGCATGAACAGGAAAATAGTTACAGGAAAACAGCAGGGCAGGGAGATGAAAAGCATAGAATCATAGAATCGTCTGGTTGGAAGAGACCCTCAAGATCATAGAGTCCAACCATTCACCCTGCACTGTCAGGGTCCCTAAACCATGTTCCTCAACACCAAATCCACACAGTTTTTAAACACCTCCAGGGATGGGGACTCCACCACCTCCCCGGGCAGCCTGTTCCAATACTTCACAACCCTCTCTGTAAAGAAATTTTTCCTGATATCTAACCTAAATTTGCTGATATCTAACCTAAATTTGCATGTGCCGAGAGGTAGCATGGGAAAGGTTCTGGAGAACTGATGCGCTCCTGAGACCAGTGGTCCTGCTGAGTTCACATGAAGTGATAGATTCAGAACACCAGCCATCTGCCAAATCTGTATAAGGCCACTAGCACACGTGGGCATCAAAAATGTGTTGCATGGCTCAGCCCACATGTGAGAAGGCAGTGTCTGCTGTACACAGACAGAGACTACAGGATTGTAGGTGCACCTGTGAAGCAAGGGAGCCCTTGTTTGAGGTTGGTCTCCCAGCTGTTGCTTCAGCTTGCCAACCATGTCGGTGCATGTGCATGTGTGAACTGCATGAGGGAATAAGTGATTGTAATGTGATAAGTGATTAGTTCTCTGTGACTAATAAACAGCAGTTTGGCTCTATGAGTGGTAACAGCTCAACTTCCACTCTGCCTCAGTCCCCTATCAGGGAAATTTATATACTTCTCCATCTCCAAACTAAGAAAAAAGTCTCTCTCTAATATGGTAATACTTCTTTTGCAAGGAGGAGTGCAGTAGCTGCCAGTATTTTTCTCAAGAGGGGGTGTGTACTGTGGTATCCATCTTTCCCTGTTCTCCTTTTGCTAAGCTTGCCAGAATAATTCAGTTAATTATGAAACTTCAACAACTGAGGAAGGAATATTAGAAAAGGTTGGTAGCTGTTTAGCTAAAATAATTTTATTTTTTAGTGTGGTAATGATAGGAGATTTACTGAACCACAAGTATTTCATTAGAGTTTGTTGTTTTGGGGTTTTTTTACTGTAACAGTTAATGGATTGGGTTTTGTCACAGTGTGCAGTTTGATTCCTTCCCTTTCAATTTACTAAGTATGAATGCTTTGTTGAGGAAAGTGCAATGAAAAAGAGGAAGAGAGGCACAAGAGTCCAAAGCATTTCATTTATAAGCATACTTTATGTGTGTTACGTCAATGAAAAGTCATTTCACAAGCTACCAGCAAAAGCACTGTGGTGTGTGTGCAAATACCAAAGACTTAAGGATGCTTCGAAAGTTCTAACCCAAACTCCTGTTAAGTACTGGGTTTGCTTAGCTGTTTTTCTTCATCTTTTAGGTTTATGGTGCTGCTATTCAGTTTTATGAGCCCTATCCCCGGGAGCTGCTAACAGAAAAACAACAATTGCAGCTGGGTCTCCTGACATCTGTAGAGAGGAAAGTGGTTACTTCCAAGTCCATCAATTCCAACAAATGCATCTGCCTTCTCTCACATTGGCCTTTCTTTGAAGCATTTCGAAAATTTCTTATGTTCATCTACAAACTCTCTGTCTCTGGACCTCATCCTCTTCCCATTGAGAAGTATGTAAAACATTTTTTTCAAGTTAATGTGGGAAGGTAGTTGTATCAGCTCAAGAAGTGATATGATTTATACATGCCACGCTCCGTCCTTTGGCTTGCACTGTGTAGCATATATAGCTTATTGCTGCTTCTGTTTAAGAGTAGTAGCTCTTGGAGTGCCAGTAAAGTGAACTGGATTTTACTGTGGCTTTTCTGTTAGAATATGTCAAGCCTGTTTACCTTTTTCTTAATTACATCAAACACAGAAAATGACTGAGCGATAAGATACTTGGTAACGTTTGCAGTCCTGCATTTTAGATTAATAAATGTGAGCTCAGGGACTCTGTGCATTAGCAATGAGTATCTGCGTCTGTTTCCAAGTAATGCAACTAATGCAGATTTTTTGTGTGTGAACTCTGTGGAGGATGGTTTTCATGGTCCTAAAAGATTGCTGAAATGTGATGTTACCCTCAAAACTGTGTTAGACATCTGACAGTATATAGTTTCTCTTAGCTAAGCCTCATTAGAAACTCTGTAGAATGGGGTTAGGCTGCCTGGGATTTCAAACGGCTTACCTAAATGCCAGTGTGTTCTTATCTTTTGCATACATATCTGAAGCTGCCAGCATTAATTTTCATGCATGAAGTGTGAGTGAATGGAGCTTCTTTGTTCCAATTTGCTTAAATAGGTTCTTAAACTTACCAAAACAGTAAATAAATCTTGACAGCCTGTCTAAAACATGATACCATATTAATTCCAAAATGCGAATAACATTGTTTTCAGTCCCTGATTAGTCCCTGGTGCTGGTTTTCTAACATCTTGTCCTCTTTTCAGACACATATCCCATTTTATGCACAATATACCTTTCCCTTCACCACAGAGGCCAAGAATTCTTGTGCAGGTAAGCGAAACATTTGCTTTGGTTTTTAGTTACCATGATGGCAAATCCTCTTTCTTGCTTTGAAATCCTGATTTCTTCCTTTAGGCTTTTTACTCAGCTTTGAATACCTGTCTGCTGGAAGGGAGAGGGGAGGAGATGAAAGGATTGGCCTTCTTTCATTGATATAAGCCTGGGGTAACTTAGCCAAGGAAACTTTTCAGACTTCAGGTGGTGTGGGTAGCAGCAGAGTCCTACTTGCACTTTTGAAATGTCTGCCATATTTTGCGCTTTCATTTTATAGGCACCATTTGCATTACGTCAGTGTGGGGGATTGTTTGTTTTCTGTCTTTCTCTCACTTGTCCACCCACTTCTGTGGGTCGAAGGTTAGTCCTCCAGGGCACTGTCTCTTGTGCTTCTCTGCTTAATCACCTAGCAGCAGCTACATGTTCAACACTGAGTCACAGACAATTTCCTGTAACTTCTGAGAATCATTCCAGTGACTAATATAACCTCTGAACACGGGCCCCGAAGATTGTCTCTGATTTGAGCCTCTTTCGTGACATCGTGAATCTGTCTGCCAAGCACTTATTGACTATGGATATACATTTATACTGGAATATTATACTGTATTAACTTTGTAGTCGACCATATCAATCACATACTACTTTATGTGTTTCAGCTTTCTGCCCATGATGCATTAATACTGTCTCAGCCAGTTTCTACACCATTGCCATTAAGGTATCATTATTAATGCTTCAAATGTATGCTACTTGAGACAAATAGGAATGAGTCGTAGAAGGAAGCCAAACATTACTGCAATGTTATTAGATTAGATCGTACGAACAGAAAGCTCAATACGCATTTATACCGTTGTACAGTGTTGTCTTTTTGACATAGTTGTGCCCCTTGTGGAAGAATAATATCACAATTATTCTGAAATAAAGATGCATTGCTAGATTATTGTAGGAACTCTGAAGAAAGAAGCAGCAGCCTGTGAGGAAAAAAAGTATATGTATTTAAATATCTTGTATTTTCAGAACCTAAGTGAGCAAAATTTTTTTTTTCGGTAGCATAGATAGACTTGTTTTTTGCCCTTTTTGGATGCAAGAGGCACTTATTGTCAAGCAGTTATGTGAAATCAGTCAATGCACAAGTGTGCAAACATTTTGGAAACTCAAAAACATACCTAAAAATTAGTATTTGTGCTTGAAGGTTGATGCAGTCTCTGTGGATACTGCCTGCGTTTTCTGGGCTGGAACTCCCTATGATTGTAATATGGGGTTTTGTTTCCATGTTTTTGTTGACATTTTTTTGTTTGTTTTTAAGTTAAAACCAAAATTATTCTTTTTTTATTACTCCCCCCTTAAATATTATCCTATAATATTCTGTATGCAGAAGAATCCCATGTTTAATCACACCTGTCACTCAGCCTCTTAAGTGAAAAATTGCAGCCAGCCACCAAACTGCAAAGTAACATGTAAGCACTTTCCTAAGGACGGATGTTAAACCCCTGTGCTCTTACAGATGTCATTACAACTCCTAAATGTGTGCAGTCCAAACAAATGAATTGGATTTAAACTATAGAAACTAAAGGCATGTTGCTATCGGGGTGATGGATTGATGTTACTTGACTGGTATTAGAATTAAACACTGTGATTCTAAGATCACATAGATACTCTAGTTCATGATTTTTGCCTAAGCTAATCCATCATATGAAAATACTGGTGTTATTTGTGCTTGGACTTGTTCTTAACCAGTTAGATCTGTTTTACTGTTACAAAGACAAGATGGATGTGCATATATGAGAGAGACTGCCATAAACAACACAAACTCAGCAGTAGCATGGTATAACGTATGTTTCTTTAGCAATAGAATTTGAATTTAGTTTTTTTTGTGGCAGTACAAGTCTCATATTGAGGAGAGGGAGAGAGAGAGATTTGATGTGTGATAATATTAGCACCATTCAACTAGTTGGTTCCAGTCATCAGAAGTTTGACAGTAGTGACTTTTAAAAAAAAAAAAAAATCTTGTAACATTCTTATTCTCTTCCCCTTTCCCACCCACCCCTTAGTGGAGCAAACTTTAGCACTCTCCTTATGAATCTTGGACCGGAAAACTGTGCCACTCTGCTACTCTTTGTATTACTAGAAGGCAAGATCCTCCTCCATTCTCTTAGACCAGCTGTGTTGACAGGAGTTGCTGAAGCTGTAGTAGCTGTAAGTACAAAGTGTTCTGTACAACAGTGAGAGAAATCAGTTAAAACTCCACAGTCGTTACAAGGCTTTTTTAAGTTAAAATAATTGATGCACTAAGTGATCGTTCTTCCCAGCAATAGAATGTAGTTAAAGTGCCCTAGCATGTCTTATTGTTGTGACTGCTAGAATGATCAACATTTTTGCATAGATAGCTGAGAGATGTGCTGTAAATGAGTGGTCAAACTCGAAAGCTCTTTTCTGACAACGTTAAAAGGCTTTTAGCAATTTCATTTCAACTTGCTGCATGTAACTTCTTGGATTTTATTGTGCCATATCTGTTGTCTTGTTTTAATGCATTAATGTCATTTAATTTTTCCTTCAGATGATATTTCCATTTCAGTGGCAATGTCCATATATCCCCCTCTGTCCTTTGTCTCTGGCCACCGTACTCAGTGCACCTCTTCCATTTATTGTTGGAGTTGATTCACGGTACTTTGATCTGTATGATCCACCACAGGATATTGTGTGCATTGACCTAGACACAAACATGGTGTACATGTAAGTTCTATGGAGTTTTTACATTTATCTGTAGATGAAGAGGTTGCTGAATTGCTCAGGAGATAAAACTATTAAACGCTGTTTTAACCAATATGGTTTGTTTCTTACTGTCCTCTGTTCTTTTTCCCATTTCTAATGCTTCACAGCAAACTAGAACTTACTAAGTCAAGGGTTAATGCTTCGCGTTGCCGATAAAAATACGATGCAGATGTTGCTATAAATTTAGTCAGTGGTAACGTGTTCTGATTTGGTTTTCCGCTTCTAGTACTGCTTACTAGGGAAATCAGATAAAAGCTAAAAAAGAGGAAGAAGAGTTGTGGTTTGTTGTTTTTCCTGCCTCACTATTTCCTACATTTTCACCTTGACCTACTATTTTTGAATTTGGTTTGCCTGTGTTCAGTGACTATTGGTATGAACATGAGTGCTTCAGGACCCTTCATGACAGCTTTTGATGCTCTCTTGTACTCACGGCACTTTGTTAGTAAAGAAATTTTTCTCAGGTTACAAGGGCTAATTTGGTGAGATCCATCAAGCAAAATTTAGCAATTGATTACATGCAATCTAAAATATTTTCACTTAATTACTGGGTTCTTAATGCATTCCTTAAATTGAAGATGGTGCATGAACAGTTTCTTCACACCTTTTGAGGAGAGGCTATTTCAGAGTAACTCTTCTGTTTTTCTGTAATATATCTAAATGAGAGTACAAATAACCGAATTGAAAATGCAGTTCTTTCAGATGTTTAATTTAGTAGCTTTATGAATTACGTTTCCTTTTTAAATTAATTAGACCATAAATAGAGAGGCATCTGAGCTAGTTCAAGATGAAGGTGAACATGGCTAAATAAAGTGCACATCTTTTCTCTATGGAAATACAGGTTTACTTCATCTTGTCACTTTTTAATTTTCACCTTTTGTTTTTACTAAATTGAGTGAGTTAGTCATTTGATCTATGGTTCAGTTGAATGCTTTCTTGATTTTCACTGTATCAAAAGGACCTTTACCAAAGTGTTTCCTTTACGTACTGAAATGCTTTGTTTTATTAGTAGCATCAAAGCAAATAGTAGCATCAAAATAAAAAATCACTGTGTCTATTTTTTGATTTTTTTTTTCTTCTTGCCCTACATCCTCATTCAAAACACTGCAAAAAGCATTTTCATCACTGTATATCAAAGTATTACACCACCAAAGAACAATTACAACAGCCGTTGTGAAAGAAGAATGATTGAAGAAACTCTAGGAAGATAACTTGTTTATATGAAGATATTTGCAGTGAGAAATACCTGAATGTTTTTATTCATACGTAGAATGGAAGTTGAATACTGGGTTGGAGAAAAATGATGGAGATAGAAACAGAGGATTTAGCAGGGAGATAAGGATATTGAGATTCTGTTAGAATGACTGCTGGAAAGACCAAGTACCAACCTTACTTGGATTGGTTACTGAACTGAAAATCTACCAGTGACTGATCTCTTATGAGGCACTCATCTAGAAAGATTTTTGCACCTTTGCTTTTTCTGTCTTATAAATCCTTTTCTCTTTTGATAGTCCACTGATCTTTTTAATTTTTTTTGCTGCCCATTTTGCATATCTCATCCGTACCACTCATTTGACTTCCACAGGAATTTGACATCTAACATTTGACTTAGGTTAATGTGAGATGTTGATACTTGTGTGATAAAACTTTTTTAACTTGGAAATGAGGATATTTTTCAGTTTTGGAGACATGTAGGTAAAACCAAATCTCCATAAAGCACTTTGTTTTGGAGATCATAGAGAATTCTAAAATACTATGTTATTGGTGAGTAAAGATTAATGTTCTATTTTATTTTATCCACATCTGTTTCTGCCCCTCTTTATTTCTGTGGTAATGCTGTGGATTTTTTGGTGTTTTGTGTTTGTTTTTTTTTAGTGTAAAAGCATTTAACAGCAGTCTTGATAACTGTGGGAGACTGCAAAATAGAAGAATAACATTTGTAAAATTCAATATTTTCTGGTACATCATTCTGTCTGTCTAGTGTCCTTTTACACCAGGTTTGTTGCTATCTTCCTTATGATAGACTGAAGCTTTATTTACTGCCAAAAGTACTGAAGACCTTTTATTCATTCAACATCTTCCTTAATGCTTTTTTTTTTTGACGTTTTCAACTATGTCTGTGAAAGTAACATTGAAAGCTGGTTAAGGAAATTAGCCTTTTTAGGGCAAAGATTTGAGAGTTTGTTTTATTTTGATAGCAGGATTTTTTCCTTATGTTTTTGGAACAGTACCACTTATATTGTTTATAGACATACCATTATAGTGGGGAAAAAAAATGAGCAAAGGCATCCGTAAGTGTGTATTTTTTCTTTAACTCCTGAATCTTTGGCTTCCTTCCTAAGATAGTTCTGTGTTGATGTCAATTGAGCAAATAATTGAACGAACGTTTCACTGATGCGAAGTGCAAAACAAGGAGAGACAGCATTAGCTCAGATAGTAACTGATTAGGTCTTGTGGTCACCAGGTCTGTTTTAGTTCCTGTTACAGCAATTCTCCCCCACCTTCTACCTTCCAGACAGAGTCATAGTTCTCAGGATTTGTTCCCTGCTCTCTCTCTATATATCCAACTGCTTAAACAAGGTCTGGCATTGCACCTGTTGTCCTTCTAACAAAGATGAGCATCCCTTTAGGCCAATTTACCTCACTGCTTGAACAACCACATAATTTTCAAACTGTGAACTAAATTCCCAGTCTTCTTAGTCCCTGCTAGCCTGTGGTTGAAGCTGGAACTGAATTGCCATAGACATGTTACAACGTACCGTATGACCGTAAAGCTGGTCTACCATCATTTTGCAGTAACAAATTCGTGTTGTACTCCAAACTGTGTCTTTATTTGCATCAGTAGCAGTATGGCAAGTTTATGGTAGTATTGACTTTGCATAGTAATCATGTACAGATTAGTGTGCTTAAATTATATTAGCAAGACTGATGATAATTCTGAAAGGGAAGTCAGCTAAGTGGCGCTTCAACTAAAAAGTCTAAATCAAATCTTAATGCAGATCCTCCTTACTGACTGGAGAAAACTCTACTTGTAACTCAGTTTATACTGTTCTGTATCTGAGGAAATGAAATTCTGAGTTATGTCACTCATTGTTTTTTTGACAAATAGAAACAGTGACAAGATTTCTTTTCAAAATAATTTCTTCTTTTTTATTTACTGTGTTCTGAAAATGAAGCCAGTTAGGGCTGTGGAAGCTATTCTTTTTTTATACGGTCTGTATTTTAGATATCCTTTTTTCCTCTGCTGTGTTTTAGATCAGATGATAAGAAAAGCACCAACTGGAAGCAGTTTCCTAAGAAGCCATGTAAAAGTCTGCTCAGCACCTTAAAGAAACTGCACCCACAGCTGGCAGCAGGTGAATATATAAAATAAAATGGGAAGGGGTAAGAACAGAAACTGCCTGGAGCACAGAAAGTAAATATTAAAAGAAAACTAATATACTTTCTGATAACACAACTACAGGTCTTAGATTATAATTCGTATATAAATGTAAGGACTTCCTTCTGTAATATGTGGCATGAATTATATTTGTAGACTTTTGCTTTCTTTGCTGTGAATTCTTAAAATGTGAGCTTTTTTTTTTTAGCCTTTAACCATTATTAAATTATATTTAAACAAAGATTCAGCTAAAACACGTTTGGATCTCAACTTAAAACAATATTCACAGTTCTGATCAAAGATAATAGAGGAAATGGGGGTATGAATAAAATAATGTTGAATATCTTGGCTATTGTGCAGATACTGCTGAATATGTCAGATAGTGACTTTTCTACAAAAATAATTGAATAGCTAAATTTTCACAAAGTATTCTGTCAAAAGAAGAATTAAAACTGACAATATCCAGCCTAATGACTTTGACAGGTAAGAGCAAAATTTTCAGGTATTGCTTCTTTCTGACCATACATAGGCTCTTTAAGGTAAGATGGTTCAGAGTATGTTAGGTTGCATCACTATGGAGAAGGAGACAATGATAGCCTCACAGGTGTACAAGGTACACAAAATTTGTAAATTACAGAAATAGAAAAGTGCGTTGTTTAAGAGGTAGGTGTTCTTGCCTTAATTTTCTGTTTGTTTGTTTGTTGGTTTTTTTTACGGGTAGCCTTCACTTCATATGTTAGAAAACCTCAACTTTTGTTTTGATTTTATCAGCATGTCATGCAATCTGCCTAATACAGAACTGCTTCCTAGTTTCAACTTGAGCAGAACCAGTGGTTGTTTTTAGATAGATAGTTTTTCTATTCTGGCAATACTATAATAGAGATGTTATAATATATATTTATATTGCAATAATTGGTATTTTTGTTGTAATAAAAAGCGTGCAACTATAATTTTCAGCAGTACCTACTACTTTTTTTTTAAGAGTGCAAGAGTAAACTCTGAATGCCATATACTTGTTTCTACCTTTTGGTGCACTGAAATGTTAGAATTTTGATTAGAAAAATAGTTTTAGGCCCTCTCTTTCTAGGTGTGCAATCTTCAGAACAGGGAAAACATGGTCATTTTTGTTTATGCTGATATATTACTGAAAGAAAGACTGCATTCAGTTGGGTACGTGGTAACATTAACTCAACTGAAATCCTCCTCATTATTTCATGTCCTTGGGGGATGGACGAGTTAGAAAAACACATAATCAGCTCTGGAGGGAACCTGCCATTTATATGAGCCAGATCAATTGGAAAATAATCACAGAGTTTCTAGTGTTTGTCACCTGTGAATATGGGCAAGTATAAAAAAGAAAAATACACCTTCAACACCCTGCAAAAGTGGCCTTTTCGAATGTACTGAATTTTAATATAGGATTGTATGTGTTGTTCATTGCTAGTTCACAGGAAGACTCAAGAAGGCTCTGCAGTCGAGATGACTCCTATCGAGGCAGATTTCTCCTGGCAGAAGAAGATGACAGAACTTGAAATGGAAATCCAGGAAGCTTTCCTTCGTTTCATGGCTTCTATTTTGAAGGGTTACAGAACATTCCTCAAGCCGATCACGCAGGCACCTTCAAATAAAGCAACTGCTGCTGATTCCTTGTTTGATCATCAAGGTAAGGGTGAGGCAAACCAGCTGCTGATAGCATTGACGGTGTTAAAACTTCAGGTTTGAGGAGCTGCTTATCTTTGAAAGGTCAAAGTTCCCTTTACAATTCTTGGCAATATTTAAAATTGCAATTGTATAAAGTTAAACTATTCAAAGTTGATTGGAACATGGGTAGCTGCACATAGAACTGCAATTTTGAACTATCTCTGGTATTAGAAAAGCTATCTTTCAGTAGCATGATGCCCTCTCTGCATGGTGTATTCTGTAAGAGCAACTCTTGGGAACGAAAGAATATTTCTCACTTTGTACAGAGCAAAAATGTCAGAAGTCCAATAATGAAGAACAAAGTAATGTTCTTGATATAAATGCGAAGATAATAGAGAATGGAGCAGAGATCAGAAACAGAACAAAACAATAGTCAGCAAAGGTCATCTTATTTTCCTCATCTTCTCACCTTAACTTTTCAGATCTGTTCATGAGTTGAATTCTAGATAAAATGTCACGTATGTTTTGTTTTGTATATGATGGTGGTGTTTTGGGATTTTTTCGTTGGTTTGTTTGAGGTTGTTGATTTTTTTTTTTTTTTTAAATTACTGGAAGAGAGATTTGAGAAGATTTTTTAGTCAGAAGTATGGAAAGTCTTTAATATTTTCATCACCTCTTAGGGTAACATAATTTTTATTTTAGTATTGTTTTACTTGTTTACTTGCCTTTGTACGAGGTCATCGTCTGCTTTTTTTTTTTTACACAAAAAGTCAATGCAGTGAGCAGATTACATGGGGGTAGTTGCTTGCCAAGTGTTGTTAACTGTGGTGAAAAATAATAATTAACAATTAATTATTATTATTTTAATCTTCCAAATGCAAGTAGTGGCAAGTACTGCATAAATTGTTTTTATTGATAAAGCCAGTACTTAATGTGTTAGCGCTTTAAATATTTCATGTTGACAGTTTATATGTTAATTTCTTATGGAACTCATAACTGTTATTTAGTTGTATGTTCCTTTTTATAACCAGGATTTTTAAAAAGCAGAGACCGTGCCTATACAAAGTTCTACACGCATCTCACCAAAACACAGATATTCAGCCGCTTTATTGAAGAGTGCAGTTTTGTGAGTGATAAGGATACTGGCTTGGCATTTTTTGATGACTGCATAGAAAAGGTGAAAAACATGTAACAATATTACTAAATTTTATACTTCTGTTCATTTTGTGTTACTGTCCTGGTTTTTAGTTGTAAAGGTACATAGCCCCTGCAGCAAGTGTTTTAAGGGATTGGAATTCTTGGTGGCTGTTGCTTAGTCATTTTCTTCCTTAATCATTTTGCATGGTCATCATTTTCTATGTTGATGCAGGAAACTTTCACTAAAGCCCTGTAGGGTGTCAAGCTATAAGATAATGTGAGAAATTTCCAGTAGCTGACAGCTTAGCACAATGCCATCCATGTCTTTGCTTTAAATGTTAATCACCCTCCCTCTTGTGTGGAATTATCTACCAGTGGTCATCTTCGTTGTTGCTCTTTTTTCACACAATTTAAACTTAAAACACAAAAACATGCCTAGTGGTCCACTTGTGATCATAACCAATTTGTGTAGATAAGATGACCTTTCATTGCTTGTATTTTATGAGAATGATTGTTGTAACCCATTCTTGTTTTTTGATACAAAGTCTTGTCAGCATGGTTCTGGTCTAGATAGGTTATTGAGTTTATAGCTTCATCTGTAAAATGCCAAGTTCGAAATATAAAAATTAAGACCTAGAGAATTATATGTATTTTTCAAGGTATATATCTATGATTCTTTCTGGACAAAACCTTCATTTTCATACTAATTTCTTATAGAATGAGTCTTTGTTTCCATAGTGATTCCAATCAAATTAACACTTCTAAACAGACCACCAAATACGTGTTTAAAAGTGTCTTAGCTTTTATTTTTCTTTCTGCTGAGTATGGAGTATGCATCTAGAGTATACTTCGTTTAATATTGTTAATAATTTGATATTATTGCAGGTTGTTAATGTGTTGCATGCTTTAATTGGCAAATTGAAAATATCTGCAAACGAACAGTTTCCTTACGTTAAACTAAATGAAAACACTTTGATAGATTTACGATTTTCTGTTTAGCAGATAATGTCAACAGATTGAAAGCATGCTGATTACTGCATTTTCTTACTTTCAGCCAAGGAAGTGTTTGAAAAAGATCAATTGCTTCTACAGAATATGAAAATTTAGTGTTTCTAGTTTAATATTTCGGTAAACAACACAACTTTAATAGAACTATTTAGGGGTTTTTTTTGAGTTGAGAAGAAACTTTAATATTTTTTTTTCTCTTCTCCCAGCTCTTTCCAGATAAAGGAACAGAAAAAGGAGAGAAGGTACTTGGTCTTTCAAAATGTTTAGGGGTATCTGATCATGAAATAAACATGGAAAGACAAGTAATTTACATATACTAACATAATTAGTGTTAAAAGAGAGATTTTATCCCAAAGCCAAGCTCTGTACTTAGAGTACAAACTCTGTTTCCAGGTCGATGTAGATTCCATTGAAGACGCACGGTTGATTGAGCTTGATGATTCCCAAAAAAGTGAACACACAGTGTTCATAATGCCTCCAGAACCTCCCACTGATGACGGACAGGACCGAGTGCCAAAATACAGGTACAAGTTAAACAGCCACCTGTAGTGAAACTAGAATGCATATGGCATTAAGCAGGGCAATGTTCCACCTGGGTGCAAGACTTGCCTTCATGTAACGTTCAGAAGAACCTTTAAAAAGCAATGGACTGCCCAGATTCTGGTAAGCTGCTGAAGCTCTAGAAGGCAATGTTTTGTGTATGTGTATGTTTGAGGACATGTGCATTTCGGTTTTAATTTTTCAATAACTTCTTGCCAACTTTACAGTAACACTCTTCTACTTGTATTCAGTGTCTGTCTTCCTGTTGGAGCCATTTTTTATGTATTTTGTAGCAACTGCAGTGTACTTTGTTTCACAGTGGGAATGGCAGGGGTTGGGTAATGGAACTGGCCAATACTATTGATCTGCAGCTGACGAACAAAACACCCACTCCACTTTTCAGACCTATTTCATTCAGTGTTTTTCAGCCCGGTGCAGGAAGCGTGGAGTTTCAGATACTCTGGGTATAATTTTTTTCTTCCTGTCTCTTTTGGAGGTCATGAAGGTTCTGTTTCCAGTTGCTGTTGTTAATCATCATCTGTGCTTCCCTGACCTTCATGATATGGATGGCAGTCTGGTTCTTGTTTCCATTGTCTAAGGAGATTTAATGTCCAAGGCATCTTCTTGTGATATCTTTGTGACCAAGACTAAAAGGATCTTGCTATCTTCCTTCCTTTCTCCAA